ACTGCATGGCCAGGCTGCAAAGTTTCTGAATCTTTATGCTCTGCTTCCCTTTTAAATTCTGGCTTTACATCATGAGTTTGCTGCCATAACTCAGAGTAGGCTCTGAGAAGTAGCCATGCAACGTCCTTAATGCTTTGCTGCTTAGAAATTTCTTTGGCCAAATGCTCTGGTTTGCAACTCTTAAGTTCCAGCTTCCACAAAGTCCAAGGGCATGGACACAATGCAGCCAGGTTCCTTGCTATGGTGTAGCAAGGGTGATCTTTTGTCCAATTCCCAATAAGTTCCTCATTTCTATCTGAGACCACATCATCCACACGGCCTTTACTGTCCACATTTCTATCAGCATTTTGCTCACCACCACATAAGTCTTGAAGACATTCCAAATGTCTCCACCCCCATTATTCAATCAGTTTCCAACACTGCCACATTGGAGATCAAATTTCCATGTGAGTTTTGGAGGTGACAACACATCCAAATTCCATCAACAGCTCATTTCTTTTTAGTGCTGAATAATATTCCATTGCATGGATGTGGATGTATCACAGTTTATGTATTTATTCACCTGCTAAAGGACATCTTGGCTGCTTTCAGGTTTGGGCAATTATGAATAAAGCTTCTGTAATCATCTCTGTGGAAGTTTTGGAGTGAACGTAAGTTTTCAATGCATTTGGGTAAATAGCAAGGAGTGCAATTGCTGGATTGTATGGTGAGAGTATGTTTAGTTTTGTAAGAAAATGCCAAACTGTCTTTAAATTGGCTGCACCATTTTACATTCCCACCAGCAATGAATGAGAGTTCCTGTTGCTCCACATCTGCACCAACATTTGCTGTTGTCAGTGTTTTTTCTTATTTTTTTCTTATTTTTCATTGCAGCTGGCCAGTACAGGGATCCAAACCCATGACCTTGGTTTTATAAGGCTGTGCTCTAACCGAATGAGCTAACTGGCCAGCTGGAGTTTTTAGATTTTTGCCATTTTAATAGGTGCATAGTGGTACCTATAGCACTATAAATGGTATAGGTACCACTGTCTTTCTATTTTTTCTTTGTTCTTAATTTTATATCTTTCTACTTTAATTTTCGATTCCCTAGTGCAAATATGCAATTTTAATTTGCAATTCCCTAATGACACATGATATATGATGTTGAGCATCTTCTCATATGCTTACCTGTCACCTGTCAAATGTTCTTTGGTGAGGTGTGTGTTCGGGTGTTTTGTTCATTTTTAAGTCAGCCTGCTCCTTTTCTTATTTTTGAATTTTTTTTTTTTTTTTTTAAAGATGACCAGTAAGGGGATCTTAACCCTTGACTTGGTGTTGTCAGCACCACGCTCAGCCAGTGAGCGAACCGACCATCCCTATATGGGATCCGAACCCGGGGCCTTGGTGTTATCAGCACCACACTCTCCCGAGTGAGCCACGGGCCGGCCCTCTTATTTTTGAATTTTAAGAATTCTTTGTATGTTCAAAATATTTAAAAATTTCTCTTGAGACTATTTTTTGACCCATGTATTATTCAGAAATGTGTTGTTTCAATGTTCTCCAAGTATTTTGAGACTTTCCAGCTATCTTTCTGCTACTGATTTCTAGTTTAATTCCATTGTGGTCTGAGAGCATGCTTTGTATGATTTCTTTTCTTCTATATTCGTTAAGGTGTGTTTTATAACACAGAATGTGGTCTTGGTAAATGTTCCAGGGGAGCTTGAGAAGAATGTTATTCTGCTGTTCTTGGATGAAGTACTCTACAGAGGTCAATTAGATCCGGTTGATTGATAGTGCTCTTGAGTTCACCTGTATCCTTACTAATTTTTGGCCTGCTTGATCTGTCAATTACCAATAGAGAGGTCTCCAAATATAATGCAGATCTGTCTATCTCTCCTTGCAGTCCTATCGGTTTTTGCCTCATGTATTTTGTTACTTTCCTGTTAGGCGCATACACTTTAGGGATGGTTATGACTTCCTGGAGAGTTGACCTCTTTATCATTAGGTAGTGACCCTTTTTATTCCGTTGGATGAAGTATTCTACAGAGGTCAATTAGATCCGGTTGGTTGATAGTGCTCTTGAGTTCACCTGTATCCTTACTAATTTTTGGCCTGCTGGATCTCTCAATTACCAATAGAGGTCTCCAAATATAATGCAGATCTGTCTGTCTCTCCTTGCAGTCCTATCGGTTTTTGCCTCATGTATTTTGTTACTCTCCTGTTAGGCTCGTACACTTTAGGGATGGTTATGACTTCCTGGAGAGTTGATCCCTTTATCATTAGGTAGTGACCGTTTTTATTCCTGATAATCTTCCTTGCTCTGAAGTCTGTCTGAAATTAATATAGCTACTCCAACATTCTTTGGGTTAGTGTCAGCATGGTAATCTCTCTCACCATCTCTGTACTTTTAATCTATCTGTGTCTTTATATTTAAAGTGGTTTTTTATAGACAACATACGGTTGGGTCTTGGCTTTTTATCCACCCTCACAGTCTCTTTTCATTGGTGTATTTTCATCACTGAAGCTGAAGGGGATTATTGATATAGGTGGGTTAACATCTCCCATATTTGTTATTGTTTTCTGTTTATTGCCCTTGTTGTCTGTTTCTTTTTTGTATTTCACTCTTTTTCTGCCTTCTATGATTTTAATTTAGCATTTTATAAGATTCCATTTTTCTCCTCTCTTAGCATATTAATTATACTTCTTTTTTTGTTCTTTTAAGTGGTTGCCCTTGAGTCTGCAATACACATTAACAACTAATTCAAGTCCACTTTGATCATTATACAACCGTCCTGCTTGGAGTGGGTAATAGGGAGTTGTTTAATGGGGACAGAGTTCCTGTTTGTGATGATAAAAAAGTTCTGGAAGTAGACAGTAGTGATGGTTATATGACATTGCAAATGTACTTAAAATCACTGAATTGTATACTTGAAAAATGGTGAAAATGGTATACTTCATGTGATATATATTTGACCACAATAAAAAATGGTAAAAAATTAAAATTAAAAACCCTAAGGAAATCTAAATAAAGTATGGGCTTCACTTAGTAATAATATATCAATATTGGTTCATTAATGGTAACAAATATATCACATTCATGTA